CTGCTGCGACGACGACGAGGACGACGGGGTTTCCCAATATCTCCGGTATGGTTAGACATCTTTTACTTGAGGGTAGAAATCTCTTGGGGGTGTCAGTGTAGCTACCATAATAGTACTGATCCTGCTTACCATGTTTCTTGATCCTCTAAGTGGAGACCTCCTTGGAGGGGCCTTTTGCTGCAGCCTCCCTGAACCAGCACCGTTTTTTTTTCTCAGAGAGACCAATCTACCCGGCAGTAGAGGAAGATACCCGGATTTACGGCATATTTTCCTAACTAAGGAGCCCCGAAACACCTTTATAACACCCACCTCAAGCCATGCTTTGGGGTTGTTTGGGCTATGTCCAAGAGGTGGTATCGAAACAGCGCACTGGACTCTGGCGAGAAGGCTGGTGAAGCTGGTCTTAGCTTCAGATGCAGACATATGGGTAGTTCTTTAAATTAGGGTCCCATTTTAGGTCCCCAATATAGTACGGCACCCTTATAAAAATCCTAAAAGGGACCCTTATCTAGAGGACTATCCATATGCAACCCTAAACTCTACGGGTCAGCGTCCTTGTTAAAGAAATGTGAGAAGCCCCTACATGTCGAACTCGGCTTAGGATCAAGGGGCCGTATCATGGAGCCCGTGGTGACATGCACCGCGGCGTTACTGGGTCTCATGTGCACAAGGATTCGCTTGTCTGCAGGAGGAACGAACACGGAAATATGCGCCACATTACTGTCACATGGCTAAGCGGTTAAGATGTGTGGCTTTTAGCATGTACTCCAAATCAGTTCCCAACACCTGGCGGGAGTTGACAAGTGAGAGTTGAAGCAAAACGAAGGCACCCCACATGTCCGAGATTTATAGCCCTCAAGATCCCACATCCTTGCCCGGACAGGACCATCACCTGGATCGCTTCGATGCCCTCGTCCGAGAACGGCTGAGCTCGTCAGCACCTGAACTGACCAAGTCTCCGCATCACTACAACCCTAAACCCCTAAGCCCTAAACCCTAAACCCTAAATGACACTAAGCCGTGAGGCCCTAAGGCGAAAAGGAGTTCAGGAATTCCCGCCTCAGGAGTGCAGGAGGGGATGTTTTGGGGTGCGCCTTGGCTTCTCCATGAGACCATGTCCGCCCTAAGCCCTAAACCCTCATTCTTCACCCAACCCGCAGCAGTGCGCAGGGGCAGCACATCACATCGGACGTCGACCACACACAGATGTGGTATAGTATAGTATAGTACAGTATAGTATACTATAGTATAGTTCGTATTCTTTATCGACATTGGGGTTGAGCACCTAACTAGTTCCATGCTGCAGGACTTCGGCTTAGGGTTTAGGGCTGGTGGTTCACTGAGGGTTCTATAAAGGTTCTAGAAGAGTTCTTGAAGGGCGATTCGGGGTTTATGGTTTAAGATTTACCCATAGGGTCATACATACCCTGCCCCCGTTTTTAGGGGACCGGCTTGTGTACATAACAGATCCTGACCATGAGACTAAGCTTCCAGGTAATGCAGGGGCCTAAATAATTACCCATACTATTCTGGGGGATTCCTTTGTATAAAGAAAGTGAAATATACCCCAAAACCCTATTCTAATTATTAAAGTATACCCCCAAAACCCTATTCTAATTATAAAGGCCCCTATATTAGGTAGGGTTTAGGTACTTGGCAGCCGGATCCTGGGTTTAGAGTTTAGGATTTAGGATTTAGGGCCTAGGGTTTAGGGTTTATGGGGTTGAGTGTCAGAAGTAGTAAGTGTGGGTTATAAGTACTTTAGTTCAAGTGGCAAGGAGCTACAAGAGCAATCACTGTGCTACCCGAATTAAGTTTATAAGGCCCTATAATAAGTCCTAAACCCTAAACCCTAAACCCTAAACCCTAAACCACAAAACCCTAAACCCTAAACCCTAAACCCCAAAGTCAACCCGATCCTTCGAGTTGTTCAGGTGCTTCCCCTGGTTGGCGCTGGGGCTCCCCCTGCAAGGCTCCTGGGCGTTCAGGGTTGTGCTGCGCAAGCTGAAACGGCGGGGGCCGGGGTGGGCGGGCTGCATTCCTTGGCAGGCAACACGGGTCCTGAAATTTCGGGAGGGGTTTAAGGTTTAATAAAGGGACCTTAAAATTTTTGGGCCTATACTATTTTGGGGGTTCCTTAGCATCATTATGGTATAATATACCCCAAAAGCTTATTCTAATTGTTAAGGCCTTGCGTTAGGGCAGTTTAGGGTTTCGGCATTATCGCAAAACCTCATGATGCATGACAGATCACCGGTATCTTGTGTCAATCAACGTCGCCAGGTTTTGGCGGATAAGTGCCCCTGCCTGAGCTGCAGCAGGTACCGGATGGCACTCTACCTGCCACTCTTGACAGCAATGTTTCCACATTACCTGCACCTTGGGCGAGTCCGGCTGCGGGGCTGGGGCCTGGTACAATGGTTGATGGCGTATGGTACCTTGGACAGCTGGTGGCCTAGGTGGTTTCCTACGGGGTTTTCTGTAGAAGGGGCGTGGCGTTGAAGGTACTTCCCTTTCTCGAGATCTTGGCCCAGTTTCTTGTCCAAAGGACTTGATCCGTGTTAGGCTGCGGTCGCACACACATACAAGGTTATGCACCCACATAAGCATTGTCAGCCAGTTTGTCGGTCGGTCGATGAGTGAGTGAGGGAGTGAGTGCGCAGGCAGGCAGTCAGTCAGTCTGTCCGTCAGTCACTAGGTCAGCCAATAAATAGAAGATTCAGGTAGACACATCAGCTTAAACAACAGGCGGAGAGAGGTTATGCCGAGTGCTGCAGAGGTCCTCATTCCCCGTTCCCTTTTCAAGTCTACCCCAGTCTCTTGTCTAGTGCTCAATCCCACATCAACCTCCCCTGTCTCCGTCCTGTGTGTTGACCGGAACGGGTTATCCACACAGAGCACAACCACACATACATATCATCATACTCATACCATACCAATGCATATACATTCCAAGTAAACATTCATATACATGAAAGGTCCCATGCTGCAATCTTCAAAGCGTCTGGTTCGGAGCGATTCACGCACTTGGGTTCAGACAGAATGCTGAGAAGCGTGAAGAGGCACGAGCCGCAATCGTTGTCGACCAAGGTGCCTTTGCTGCGACCGCCCTGTTCTTCTTTTGGCTGTGTTTCTTCTGCTGCCGGTGGAGTGTGAAGAAGATTCGCAAAGCGACAGCCTCAGAGACGATCGCAGGGCTGCGCTGCAGCACCAAGTATAGGCCCTAACCTTAAGCCCTCAACCCCAAACAGAAAGCCGCGATCCGAGGCAGTCCCCAGGTGGGTCGTCATCCCCGCCGTGCAGTCCTTGGTCCTCTTGCTCCCGATCGCTTTTTGGCTCCCATACCGGGCAGTGCTTCAGAGGACCGGGAGCAGTCCCTGGGCTCAGTTGCCACAGCACAGCCGCAATAAGGACGCCGTGCTCTTTGCCACGGATCCCTATTCCGGTTTCTTAAAGTAAGCCGCCACAACCATAAGGAAGCCTCATTCGTCACGGTAGATCCATACCCTAAACCCTAAACCCTAAACCCTAAACCCTAAAACCCTAAAACCCTAAACCCTAAACCCTAAACCCTAAACCCTAAACCCTAAACCCTAAACTTGAAGAGCCGAGGTCTGGCAGCGGGCCTTGTGCTTTCCTGCATGTGGCTCATCCTCCTGTGCCTGTCCTCGACCCTGCAGCTCCTCGCTTGTTGGCGCAGCCAAGGCCCTTTGAGCCAAACGGCTGCTCGGTGTAGGGCTCCCCCCTTTTTTTTAAGAGTCGGGTGCACGAGGTAAGCTCAAGCAACCCGTCTGAAGCTTGCCGCGAAGGGCAGCCGAAGCCTCTTCTTGAAGCTGCGCTTCGGCTTCACACCCTCGAGGTAGGCGATCTGCATTTGCTGGTGAATCCCAGGGGTCGGAGGATTGGGAGATCCCTTTGAAACATTGGGTGCACCCTCCAGTAAAAAGTCTCTTTCCAGACTCTGCTTCAGCGGATTTGGATTTTCAAGAGAGACTATAATTTTTTCAACAGGGGTTGGAACGACGAACTACTCCTTAAGGTCCCCAGTACAGTGGTACTTAGTTGCATACTCCGAAACAATTGTTCATCATTTCGGCCCCTAGAATACTTCCGTCGAGTCTTGCTTGAATCTGCGGGCTGCCTCGAAAAGGGCCTTCCTGTAAGGGAGTGGCTCCAGCATGGCTGTCCGCGGCCGCATGCGTTTGAACAGCTCTTGGCTATGGCGGCTTTGGGTTTCTGCTGCGTTTTCGGGATACCAGAGGCGCAGCATGCCCGGAATGGAGCTAGAAGCATAAACCCTAAACCTTAAACCCTAAACCCTAAACCTTTAACCCTAAACCCTAAGCCGTAAAGCCCTCAACCCTCAACCTTTAGAAAGTTGCGCTTCCCAACGCTCCTTTCCGAGCCCCAAGCTCCGGAAGATAGTTACATCATGAGGTCGAATTGGCAACGGTGCTTTTGAAGCCAGCCCAGAGTTGGCATTTGGGGACGGCTCTGTGCTGTTGAAGATAAGAGGCCGCCCTCATCATAACGACACCCCCACCATGAGGGGTTCGCAACGGGGGCGATGGCTGGAGGTTTCTACCATGGGAAGCTATCGGTTTAATTAGTACTACTATCATCATTGTTATTACTGTCACTGTTACTATCTGTTGCCGTTGTTGATTCAGCAACTCCGCGTTGAAAGTCCCAAATGTAATGGGATTGATACCCAGGAACTGCAAGTGAACGCTGTGAGAACCATGGGTTGCTACATCAGGTTCCTAATATAGTAACCTAAATAATTGCCAATATTATTCCTTATGATTCCTTATTACAATTATAGTACAGTGGGCCCCAAAACACTGTTCTAATTATTAAGGCCCCTACATTACACTCGGCGTCTTCAGGACACGAGTCCTATTGTTCAACTGGTCGAAACTAATTGTAGTAGCATTCCCTCATGGTCCCTCTACAACCCTAAACCCTAAACCCTAAACCCTAAACCCTAAACCCTAAACCCTAAACCGCCCGTAAAAAAAAAAAAACCGTCTCATTATTCCTGTATGAAACCTTCACGCAGGAGTTTCCAGATGAGGAGCCGGGGAATGGGTACTTGGAGGATCATGGGACTGAGTAAGTAAGGTTATAAGTACCCTAGTTGGGTTTATAATTATAGATACCTTACTTATAACCCTAGTTACTAAGTCCCATGATCCTCCAAAGTACTGAGTGGCGGGAACCGCGAACTCTCTCGGAAGCCCAGCAAGATCAAAGGGCTCCACGCGCGGGATGGAGGTACCATGTAGGTGGGGCAAGCCCACGTGTGAGTCTGTATACAGAGCGTCCTGAATCCTACTTATCAGGGGACTTAGTAAGTAGGGTTGTAATTGGGTGTACAAGTACCCTAAGTAGGGTTATCCTTATTATAACCTTACTTACAGCTTTCCCTACAACGTCCAATGAAACCTTCAGCTACTACCTTTCTACCACGTTGCGCGGCCCGGATTACATTGCCTGTTGAAGATTATCTTTGCACCGCAAAACCGGACAGAAAGGCCGATTCCTGAAGCATCCCATCATTGTGCGAAAGGCCTAGGAAGCTTCGGGCAAGGGTGGTGGACTTAGGCCTAGGGGCCCGGTATTTAAGCGTCTTGGGGTTTGGGCGTGTTCAGTTGGGGTTTACCCCAAAATCCAAGAAAAGACTTGATCTGCAAATAGTAGACCTTAACAGCAACGGTTTAATGCAGGGGCCTGAATCGCCAGCAATTTTCCTTACAGCTCCTGGTTACAATTATGACCTGACGTAACACAGAAGCTTGAATAATTACCAATCGTCGTATTTCTTGGGACTCCTTATTACAATGGTACCATACCATACACAAAACCCAATTCTACCTAATTGTTAAGGCCACTATACCTAACCGTAAACCCCTAAATCCTATTCGAACTCTAAAGGACCCATGTTTTGGACACGGTGGTCTTTGGGGGGGGTCCTGATATAGGGCCGTAGTAGTTACCTATATGATTTGGGAGGTTCGTTAGTATAACTAAAGTAGAATACACCCCAAAACCCTATCCTAATATTTAAGGCCCCTACAGTACTTGAGGGTCTGTCGTCGTGTTGCGGGTTTAGGGTTCAGGGTTAGGAGGGCGTGCTTCTGCCAAGCGTAGCAGCCTCGATCATTCGGTTTAGGGTTTAGGATTAGGGTTTAGGGTATTATTCCTACGCGAATACCGCCTTCTAGCCCAACCCTGTAACCCTATCACCAGGCTTGGCACTCGCCTGGAATCCGTCTACGGGAGCACCTGCTGCATGCTTCTCCGGCAGAAAAGGAGGCTTGTTGAGGTTTAGGGTTTAGGGTTTAGGATCCATATTATGATTATGGCTTCGGGTCAGTCCTGCCTGGACACCTTTCATAATTACTGCATGAGTTCATGGTTTGCGAACTTGGAAGAAGTCGGTCGGTGCAGCCGCGTGCATAGCGTCTCATCTGAATCGGGGACTCTGCGTGCAAGCGCTCGTGCTGAGGTACTTGGCCACATACTTTGCGATGAAAGTCTTGCCGCTCGGAGCGCTTTTCCCTCGTCTTGGGCAGCACCTCGTTAAGGGCCCTAGTTAAACCCTAAACCCTAAACCCTAAACCCTAGACCCTGAACCTACAGTTGAACTGTCAAGCAGTGGCAACTGGGGGCCTTGGACTTGATCCACCATAGCGAGTCTTCTCCCTGAGCCGGAAAGCGCCTGAATACACGTTACGGCACACTGGTAAAACCTACAAAACCCTCCGAACCTTGTTCTTTTTTGAGGGTTTAGGGTTTAGGGTTTAGGGGCAAGCCTGCCTCTGGAGAAACACTGCGTACGAGGCGATTTTCGATTAACTTGGACGGGGCCAAACACCTTCGGAGCAGCCCATAAAACCGCGTAGGTTTCCTTGCGCCTTTTGGGTTTTATACAGTCCTACTATACTTCAAAAGGGTGAACCGTTTTGTGGGCTATGGTACTGAGCCCCTAAGTTATAGAATCCTGCAAGACCCTTGCGCAACGTTCAACCCGATTCCGATGAGATTGCAATGAAAGACCACCGCGTCGATGTGCAAGTGGCCAAAACAGTGGCAGTTCGAGAGGTCGAAAGGCTCAGAACAAGGCTCTTAGTTCTGGTGACACTTACTGCCACGCGTACGTCCAGAGAATGGCTGAATCTTGTTGCCAGATTTGCTCCGCGTCCTGCAGCATTTCAACTGTCGAGGCACAACGAGGAGTTCAGAATCGATCGGGCAGCCAAGAAGCTTGCCGCCTATGCTGTTTCAGGCAGGATTTCGGGGGGTTCGGGTTGACCAGGAGTCGTTGCACGAAGTTACAAGAATCGGTTCTCTTTCGAGCTATTCCACTGCAGCCTGAAAGGAGCAACAGTGCGTCAGAGTTACAGACATGCCATCTCTTTCCAGATCAACGAACTCTGGAAGCTCGAAGCTGCTTTGGGGGCTTAAATAATTACCTATATTCTTTTGAGGGGTTCTTTATTCTAGTTATGGCATACTATACCCCACAACCCTGTTCTAATTATAAGGTCCCCTACGGTACGTTTGTTCCCAGAAAAAAGCGCTGGATTTTGGGGCCCCCACCATGAGCTTTCGCTCGCAAAGTCCAGTAGCAGTCGTGGTGAGGCTAGGTCACTTTCCCTAACATCGCTTCTAGCCCCTCACATATTCATGGCATCATCGTAGTAGATCCAACCCTAAACCCTAAACCCCAAACCCTAAATCCATAGCATAAGTACAGTATCTTCTGGGACATGATGTTCAGAAGTTCTGCAGGCTCCCAACCCGCACCCCATTCAAAGCCCCTCTAAGACGGGAGAGTCCCACTAGGTCGAAGGCCCGAAGGCCTATGGGAGATCGGCTTAGGGTTTAGGGTTCAGGGTTTAGGGTTTAGGGTTTAGGGTTTAGGGTTCAGGGTTTAGGGTTTAGGGTTTAGGGTTTAGGCTATAGGGTTCAGGGTTTAGGGCTTAGGGTTTAGATCTTTGTGGTAGTGTAGTCTAGTCTAGTATAGTCTAGTCTCGTTTAGTCTACGTAGTATAGTACAGTAAAGTACTGCACAGTACAGTATAGTGTAGTATAATATAGGCATAGTACTGTATAGCATAGTATAGGGGTCGGAATAGTTTGAAGCCCCAGTAAATCATACCTCAACACCCTATTCTACATCTTACAGCATTTTTTTATTAAGCCCTAAACCCTAAACCCAAAACCCTAAACCCTAAACCCTTAACCGCAGGAGTGGCGTTCAGCATCTTCAGCGGGCTCTTTACCGTTCCGAGCACGCTGGGATGGCTTGTGGTGCTGCACCTTCGGCTTTTTCATAGTCGGTTTAGGGTTTAGGGTTTAAGGGTTTAGGCTTTAGGGTTTAGGGTATAGGGTTTAGGGTTTAGGGTTTAGGGTTTGGGGAACTGATAAAGGACAGGTAACCTTTGACCTTTTTGGGTTTATATACCCCTACCATACATACTTCAACAGGCTCACTTTTTTTTGGCTTAGGGTTTAGGGCTTAGGGTTTAGGGTTATTTTTTGGGCTAGGGCGCTCCGCCCCTGAGTAGCTCGGGAGGCATGGGTCGGTTTCGGTTCCAGCCACGCTTCCGGAGGCTTCTTCCGCGCTGGGGCACTCATGAGCATTGTGGGTAGTTGTCAAAATCATGGTCCCTTTTGGGGTACCCTAAATAATAGGTGCCGTATTATAATAAGGACCCAAAAAGGGACCATAATTTTGACAACCACCCATGTGGGAGTTTCCGAGAAT